GCTCCATCTGCTGGACGTAACAGGTTTCGACGGGCTCCCTGGACAGGACTAATTGGGGCTGATTGGGAGCTGGTGAGTAATTAAGGGTGGATTGCTCACCAGCTGTGCAAGGCCCATAAAGCTGCCAGAAGGGCAGCACATGAGAGAGGACTGGGGGAAGTAAGATAACTTCTGTGTAGTTGGAGACGGTATCCTGGAGAGGATCTCATGGGGGAGACCTAACCTTTTCTTTTGATTATTTTATTAATAAAGGATGAGGATCAGCGTGGCAGATGTGTTGTTACCTACCCTTACCACCTGGGGGCGGCCCGTCAGGAAGTCCAGGATCCAGTTGCAGAGGGAGGTGTTTAGTCCCAGGATCCTTAGCTTAGTGATGAGCTTTGAGGGTACTATGGTGTTGAACGCTGAGCTGTAGTCAATGAATAGCGTTCTCACGTAGGTGTTCCTCTTGTCCAGGTGGGAAAGGGCAGTGTGGAGTGCAATACAGATTGCATCATCTGTGGATCTGTTGGGGCGGTATGCAAATTGGAGTGGGTCTAGGGTTTCTGGGATAATGGTGTTGATGTGAGCCATGACCAGCCTTTCAAAGCACTTCATGGCTACAGACGTGAGGACTACGGGTCGGTAGTCATTTAGGCAGGTTACCTTAGTGTTCTTGGGCACAGGGACTATGGTGGTCTGTTTGAAACATGTTGGCATTACACTCTCAGACAGGGAGAGGTTGAAAATGTTAGTGAAGACACTTGCCAGTTGGTCAGCGCATTATTGGAGTACACATCCTGGTAATCCGTCTGGCCCTGCGGCCTTGTGAATGTTTCATTTTGGTGACCCAATACTTGAAATATAATATAAAAAGTCAGAGGAACTGAATATTACCCGAGCCCAAGAATGACCCAACTGCTATGCTTAAGGGCTGAACGGCATATTTTTCCACCTTGCCGGCTCGGGGATTCGAACCCAAGGCCTTAACCGCTAGTCTACCTGCCGCCCCACAGTGCAATGGCGATTGCGTCGTCCGTGGATCTGTCGGGGTTACTTACAGTGCATTCGGAAAGTATTCAGACCCCTTGACTTTTTCCACATTCTGTTACGTTACATCCTTATTTTAAAATTGATTAAATAAAGGTGTTTCCCTCATCAATCTACACACAATTCCCCATAATGACAAAGCGAAAACAGGTTTTTAGCAATGTTTGCAAAAAAATACCTGAAATACCTGATTTTCCATAAGTATTCAGACCCTTTGCTATGAGACCTGAAATTGAGCTCATGTGCATCCGGTTTCCATTGATCATCCTTGAGATGTTTCTACAACTTCATTGGAGTCCACCTGTGGTAAATTCAATTGATTGGACATGATTTGGAAAGGTACACACCTGTCTATATAAAAGATCCCACAGTTGACAGTGCATGTCAGAGCAAAAACCAAGCCATGAGGTCGAAGGAATTGTCCGTACAGCTCAGAGACAGGATTGTGTCGAGGCACAGATCTGAGGAAGGGTACCAAAAAATGTCTGCAGCATTGAAGGTCCCCAAGAACACAGTGGCCTCCATCATTCTTAAATGGAAGAAGTTTGGAACCACCAAGACTCTTCCTAGAGCTGGCCACCTGGCCAAACTGAGCAATCGGGGGAGAAGGGCCTTGGTCAGGGAGGTGACCAAGAACCCGATGGTCACTCTTGACAGAGCTCCAGAGTTCCTCTGTGGAGATGGGAGAACCTTCCAGAAGAACAACCATCTCTGCAGCACTCCACCAATCAGGCCTTTATGGTAGAGTGGCCAGACGGAAGCCACTCCTCAGTAAAAGGGACATGACAGCCCGCTTCAAGTTTTCCAAAAGGCACCTAAAGACTCTCAGACCATGAGAAACAAGATTCTCTGGTCTGATTACACCAAGATTGAACTCTTTGGCCTGAATACCAAGCGTCACGTCTGGAGGAAACCTGGCACCATCCCTACGGTGAAGCATGGTGGTGGCAGCTTCATGCTGTGGGGATGTTTTTCAGCGGCAGGGACTGGTAGACTAGTCAGGATCGAGGGAAAGATGAACGGAGCAAATTACAGAGAGATCCTTGATGAAAACCTGCTCCAGAGTGCTCAGGACCTCAGACTGGGGCGAAGGTTCACCTTCCAACAGGACAACGACCCTAAGCACACAGCCAAGACAATGCAGGAGTGGCTTTGGGACAAGTCTATGAATGTCCTTGAGTGGCCCAGCCAGAGCCAGGACTTGAACCCGATCAAACATCTCTGAAGAGACCTGAAAATAGCTGTGCAGCGACGCTCCCCATCCAACCTGACAGAGCTTGAGAGGATCTGCAGAGAAGAATGGCAGAAACTCCCCAAATACAGGTGTGGCAAGCTTGTAGCGTCATACCCAAGAAGCCTCTAGGCTGTAATCACTGCCAAAGGTGCTTCAACAAAGTACTGAGTAAAGGGTCTGAATACTTATGTAAATGTAATATTTCCGTTTTAATTTTTTATTATAAATTAGCAACATTTTCTAAAAACCTGTTTTTGCTTTGTCATTATGGGGTATTGTGTGTAGATTGATGAGGGGGAAAAACAATTGAATCCATTTTAGAAGAATGCAACGTAACAAAATGTGGAAAAGGTTAAGGGGTCTGAATACTTTCCGAATGCACTGTGCATACGTCCTCCATGGAGACTGGTAGCATGTAGCCCTCGTCCTCAGGGGCTCTCCTTGGTTGCTCAGACTAGTTATGCTCGAAGTGTGAGAAAAAGGTGTTTGGCTCATCCGGTAGGGGGGCGTGTGTCCGCGACGTGACTGGCTTTATTTTTGTAATCCGAGATCGTTAGAAGCCCTCGTGTCCTCCACTTTGGGACAATTGTAAGTAAAAACTGATAACTCATTTCAATTATATTTCATGAATTTGGTGCTTTATTTTCCGTATGTCACATTATCAAGTCACTGGCATGGCATGAATTACACAAGAAGAAAAAAGATTTACGAACAGTTGCAACTAAAGAATTCTAAGTAAAGATTTTCTGATACAGAAAATACAGAATCTAGGAATGACATTTACTCTTTCTCTCTCTCTCTCTCTCTCTCAGAGACACCAAATATTTCATTGGCCTTTCTATGGAGAAATAGGGTGGTTTGTATGAATTCACAATAGGGAACATTAGTAACACAATAACACAACATAAAATAATTAGAGAAACAATATTCTGTGCACAAGGTTCCTGGGTCAAAAGGAAATAAATAAAACCATATATATATATATATATACACATACATACATACATACATACACACACACACACAGCACCAGCCAAAAGTTTGGAAACTACATTTTTGATTCTTCAAAGTAGCCACCCTTGATGACAGTTTTGCATACTCTTGGCATTCTCTCAACCAGCTTCACCTGGAATGCTTTTCCAAAAGTCTTGAAGGAGTTACATTTTACATTTTAGTCATTTAGCAGACGCTCTTATCCAGAGCGACTTACAGTTAGTGAATACATTTTTTATTTTATTTTTTTATACTGGCCCCCCGTGGGAATCGAACCCACAACCCTGGCGTTGCAAACGCCATGCTCTATCAACTGAGCTACATCCCTGCCGGCCATTCCCTCCCCTACCCTGGACGACGCTGGGCCAATTGTGCGCCGCCCATGAGTCTCCCGGTCGCGGCCAGCTGCGACAGAGCCTGGATTCGAACCAGGATCTCTAGTGGCACAGTTAGCACTGCGATGCAGTGCCTTAGACCACTGCGCCACTCAGGAGGAGTTCCCACATATGCTGAGCACTTGTTGGTTGCTTTTCCTTCACTCTGCGGTCCAACTCATGGCTACTTTGAAGAATCTCAAATATATTTTGATTTGTTTAACACTTTTTGATTTGTTTAACACAATGTAGAAAATAGCAAAAATAAAGAAAAACCCTTGAATGAGTAGGTGTGTCCAAACTTTTGACTGGTACTCTGTGTGTGTATGTGTGTATGTGTGTATGTGTGTATGTGTGTATATATATATATATATATATATATATATATATATATATATATATATATATATATATATATATTATAATACATTTAAAATTACTCTAATGTGAATGCTTTTAACATCATTATACAGACAAAGTGTAAACCAAACACATCTTATAATGTGTGTAGAAGTAGAGCAGGGTTGCCCAACCCTGTTCCTGGAGAGCTACCCTCCTGTAGGTTTGTGCTCCAACCCCAGGTGTTACTACCCTGATTCATCTTATCAACCTGCTAATTATTAGAATCAGGTGTGCTAGATTAGGGTTGGAGCAAAAACCTACAGGATGGTAGCTCTCCAGGAACAGGGTTGGGCAGTCCTGAAGTAGAGGATGAAAAATGGCCTGCTCCATGTCTAGCTAATAGGTAGCCTACATTAAACAATGACCAAAAAAAATACAAATATATTTAGGGTACATATTCATTTAGTGGACGCTGACAGCATTGCATAGCACATCTAAAACTCACACTTGACAGTGTCAAGATGTTGAATGACGATTTTGGTATTGAAAGCCAAACATTTCAGTTAAATGCAAACACTGAAGAGGCGGTTTCCCAAACACAGATTAAGCCTAGTCCGGCACTAAAAAGCAATTTCAATGGAGATTGTCCATTGACCATGCATTTTAATCCAGAACCAGGCTTAATCTGTGTCTGGGAAACCGGCCTTAAAATGTCACATGCTGCTTCAAGTCTCACCTTTTTTTCAATTAGTAGGTTTAAGACTGCACATACCATGCTCACACATACACACACCCACACATACAGAATCACGGCTATCCAAAGGAAAAAGCATCCTTTGGATAGCCATGAGTCCATCCTCCATCTCCTGATTTTTTTGTATTTTCCAAAATGTCAAACACCTGTACCAATGTTTCCGTTTTTTAATTGATACCATCCCACACATCTGCATTTCCAAAGAAGTCGTCCTGATTGTCCCTCATGAAGTCCAGGTACTCACCATGAGGTCATCACCATGAGGTCATCACCGCCTCTGCTGTGTGTAAACTGGGTAGGCGAGCGTGACATTTAAAGAATCATTGTGCTGTACGAGTGACGTGTGGTGGTAGTGCAGGACGAGTTCTTTTAGGGAGCCATAAAGGTTGTATGGTTCTGCGAATCCATAGCCCGTGTGACTCTTGTTGATAACACAATGCTTCACCTCACCCTCCACACTGCAAAGAAAAAAACATTCTAAATTAGAAATACGTCAAGTTCAGAATACATCCAAATTCCATGTATGGACTTGTTTACATGGTTCCCAAAAATAAAGAATGGCCTGGTTTTGTTACATGATGTCAACTTGATCATTTAGAAACACACCAAGGTCACATTTTCCTTCTTCCTTCAGTCTCTCTCAATATGTAGCACGAGGAGATTAGTTTATTATGAATATGATCTAGTGTGACAATTCTAATCAATATGCTAATCAAGTTGCCAAAATACACTCAATCCAAATGCTGCATATGCACAATATCACAAAATCTGTCAACACGTTAAGACTGAATTATCGGAACTCATGAAATAAGATTGATTAACGCTATGAAAAATGAGTGTTTAGGTCTTAAATTATAATGACACTAAACTCAAATCATGTGTCTTCATGTGGCAATTATTTCAGGTTGATTTGGTAGCCTAAAAATCTGTCGCTGTGCCCTTGAGCAAGGCACTTAACCCTAATTGCAACAGCGGCACTATACAATAGCGACTCTGGCCGTGGCCCCACTCCCTTCGGGTGTCTCAGGGGGGAGTTGGGATATGCAAAAAAAATATCCATTACACACTTGTGTGTAACAGGACACATCTAAACACTCCCCAAACTTGTATTATTAGATACATACACAACACTGCAGGCGTAGCAGCCAGCTTTGCTACTGTCCCGGACAAGGAATGTTCCGTCCCTCTTCCCCCGGAGCAGAGCTTCTGCCTGCAGCCGGTTGATGTTGCCTAGCCTCCATGAACGTTCATCATGATGTGGGAGGTCCTCATCGTCTTCAACCATTGAGTACTCACTGCAATACAATAATCACGAGTTTTATACAACACTAACTTCTGTTTGAATTACTCCTTTAAAAAGAAACATGCAAAAGGAGTCAAAACTTTGAAGTGGATCTTTAAAAAAAACAATCCACAGTAAAAGCGTGGGAAATGGATACTTACTCCTCTGGGTTTTCATTCTTGATACCCAGCCATTCATTCAGCTTCTTCTGCCTCACTCCCTTTTGTGTAAGCCACCTACCATGAAAAAAATAGAAGGGTTTAAATTCAATCATTTAGTAATGGGACATAATAGACAATATATTTGATTAGAGACTGCAGAGAGAGGAGACTAGGGCTATACTTACATTAGGTATTGGTCTCTGGTCTTGCGGAGCTGAATCAGGTCAGGTTTGATGCTGTTCATCTTTTTATCGGTCTCCCTGTAATCCGCTGCTTGCTTTTTCAGGTCGTCCTCCAGGTGCCGTTTGCTGTCCACAATCTCACTTATTCTCGATTTCAGTTTGTCGTAGTTTCCCATGATTCTAGGAGGAACACAATTCTTGTCAAAAATATATAATCTACTGTCAATATATGAGAGAGCTGTTGTACTTCTATAAGAATGGTACATTTGGCTTCTCCAACAGTGAGGCAATCTGAGTAGTTGTGGCATCAACAAAACCCCAGTGATTCTGTGGGTAGACAAACTTCTACTATACTATTACCATTATAACACGACCCCTAATTGGAGTATCGCTGACAACATACTTTTTTATTATTTAGTTCACAGATATTAACCACTAAATCATAGCACTGAACTGTGATTATTGTTAGCTACATCTTTGGTTGAAAAGAAACATAAGATTTATAATTTCCATTATTACCTCTGGATTTCTTTATCGTTGCCCTCTCTCCTGAACTTTTCAATGTACTCCTTGCTATAGCGCTCTTGGGTCTGGCACTGCTCCTCAAAGATCTTAATGGTTTCATTGAATGCCTCAATGGCCGTTCTCTTCATTTGAATTTCCTGAAGAAAACAAAAGAACCAGAGGTTAGATACAATACGATCAGAAATTATTCAATCACAATTCAATGACAAACGTCTAGCAATTCACCTGTGATGTTCTTGTATACTCCTCGTACAGACGATCGTACTCTCGGTTCTTCTCCTGGAACTGCAGGTGGTACTCCTGCAGCCTTTTACCGACAGCTTCAATGTTGTCCTCTTTAACAACCTGGTCCTGCAGGAGACAACAAAGCAGTTAGAGGAACAAATCTCACTCGGTCATCTGGCAAATCAACCAAGCGGAAAAGTTCTCTGCGACACTCAAATGCCAACTTTGTGGAAAACTGATATCAAAATGAAGCACTGACTGTGCTCATAGAATAATCTGACGAAGGGATCTCTTAGCTTTGAATATGTGTAGCTTCCATTTGTGTTTGAATTGTGGCGGCACCCTTACCTGCTGGAGCCTTGACACTGGGTACAGCAGTCTCACGTCCAGCTTTGGGTTGTATTGGGCTAAGGACTCATGTCTGTAGTGATTGATGAGCTCAACCACCGAGTTGAACGTCAGTGGGTCTGAGAAGCCGTATTTCCCATCCCGATGGAATATTTTGATCAGTTTGTTATTTCCTCCTTTCCTATGAGTGAGATCAAAAAGGGAACTTTGAATGAAAATGGCCTTTTGTGTCTTTAGGCAAGGGTTTCCGTTAGGAAAATGTGGCGCCGGACATTTGACCGGCAGTATTTTAATTTACCAGACATTTGAGAAATATACCGGACCCATATGCATTGGGTACGTAACCTGATTAGGGTATCCACCAACTGTGCTCAGAATGACAGAAATCACATTTAGATTATGGCCATTCATTTTAACAAAACATACAACTCGAGGATGCAATGTCCTTCTTAAGTTAGAATAACTGTCCACATTTACAACAAGACGAGTTATAAACAGCAAAACCACTAGTGTATGTCAATTTACTATTCCCCATAGTAGAAAAGTTTACCTATTCTATTGGTCCGTTTGCAGTTCTGTGTGAGAAAGAATTAGCCTATTCCAAACAGACTCAGAGAGTTGTGGGATCCCAAATGAATACAACCAGTTTAGCTACATAAAAAAAACGTTAAAAAGCAAAAATCAAGCTGATGCTATTATTTCTTCACATTATAAGCTCACGAATGCTTGTTCCATAATGCAATTAGCGGGAAAACACCGTTGTCAAAAGCACACCGCACATAAGAGCGGCAGAGATTAAAATATCCATTCGAAATTTAGAAAGAGGGAAGATCTAATGACGCAACAACTAGGCTTCTAATATGACTAGGATTGTGCCTTTGGCTAACGGACAATTAAATAATGTTTACCATTTGAACCATTTGAACATGAGAGAAATAGGCTACTGGTTTCAATGGCATTTGGAAGTCTTTATAAAATAATTGCCTCCACGTTTCTATGGTGGGATTTTGGCTACGCTACTTCGAAGCAAGGGAAGACATGCCTCATAATATGAAGTATAAACAATCAGGTTTCAAACAATTAAGTTAATGTTTTTAAAATGCCTCCAGCTCATTGCAAAGTGGTGTGACACGCTGAAGCCTGCATACCCTTGCCTGTGCACTTGAATGGCAAATGGGAAGCGCGCTTCAATGTCCAGCTGAGAAATAAAAATAGCTATTTTTAATCGTGGCCATCAAAACTATTTTTAACATGCGACTGCATTTAAAATGGATGTGCATTGACTGGGCTTATAAAAATCACGTTTCACTCCAGCAGGAAGGTACAAGGTGTTTGAGCTGTAGCAGCAGCTCTCGTGCAGACACATTTTCTGCTCAAACTCTGTATCTGTATATGCTGCCAATTTAATTCCACTAAATTATGCAAACTAACCTGACCGGTCAAATGTATTTCCATCAATGAATAGGCTAAAAAGCATTATTTTGCAATGGGACAATTGGATGGCGGCAATTTTATTTAAATCGGCCTTTCAATTATTTTCTTTAAAAAAATCGGCCAAAAGCCGGCTATTACCGGCTAACGGAAACCCTGCATTAGACATAGCAGGATATTAAGAGTTCAATATTCATTTAGCAGCCATGCGATTCACAACGTACCTCAGAGTCAGAGTGTAGTCTCCGTGCATTTTGGTGGATGCATCTCGGACCAGAAACGTACCATCGGCTGTGTCTCTCAGCTTCTCATTCACCTCCTCCCTACAAGAAAACGTAGGGTTATGCTACAGTTTCTTCACAAATCCAATAGGACTCATTGTCAAACTGGAAACCAACAGATTTTCATCACAAGACACTAAAACCATTAATTAAATTATCATTAAGATCATAATGGCTTGCCTTGAGATGTCTCCCCAGTACCACTCCCCGTCTTGCAAGGCCATGTTGTTGTTGAACCCATTGTTTGGAACTGGGGTAGTGGGCTTTGGTGGTTTGGGGGGCAAAGCTGTGGCAAGGAGAATGAAGCTGTCAATTTGCAGTCTCACGGTGCATAACTTACCTTGTGAACTTGTGAAATGTAAATTGACTTGATTAGGTGAGTGAGGAGGATAGTCATCAGCTACCAGAAACTGGCTTATATTCCTCATAAAAAATTGCAACATGTGTCATGACAATAGCAGTGCAATGGCTCAAAACAAATACCTACATGTAGGCTATTGTTTAGTTTATTTGTGCCAACTACTGCATTAACAGTTAAGTAGCTACACCTTTTCACATAATGACCAGAAAAAAAAAGATGAGAAATAGTGGAAATGTGTTATTTGGCCACGTTTTAACAAAACAATATAAAAATATTATGATGACAGACTAAATTTAAAAAAAAACGAGAAAATGAGACATAAATGCAAAGATATATTAAATCCAGAAAGGAGTACACCTCTGTACACCATAACCATTCCTGTGTAATAGCAGTGATTTGCTGCAGTTCATCTGCTCTGCCGCGCTTTCAATGTAACAGCCTAATCATGACAATGCACATCCATGTAGAAATACGTCACATAGCCTAATGGTAACATCTCAATACAAAATAATGTAGGAGGATGCCAAAGAAAACATGCAAACCACTAAAAACAAATAGATGCATCAATATAGCTGAACATGTTAGTCAAATAATCAAGAAATATCAACAGCAGCTGATAAATTCGGACTAATTGCCACTGTTGCTCCTGAGAAGTGAACCTTGACGCTGTGTAATATTGTGCCCCAGGACTGCAGTGTTACCTGGTGGCTCCATATCTATGTAAAAGAAAAGCGCTGTCCCAGAGTCCAGATCAGATACAAGACATTCCTCCTCCTGATTCTTCATCTCGATCTTATAGCCTACATGCAGGCGTGGCAAAGCTGTATTAACAAATCAGGAAGATCTTTGTTCGCCCCATTTTTTTGTGTCGAAGTCTTGGAAATCATTTGAAAGCTAATGTTTATAAAAACAGCAATGCACTGTTCACCCTTAACATATTGTAAGACAAGCATTTTTCATCCTGCGAACTACACAACCGAGTTACACAAGTAGCTTTGTCACAAATTCATCATAAAATAACTTCAGACTTCAAAACCTCAAAACTCGGGACTCGACTGACTTGAGACTAATGACATGAAATTATCTGGCCAGATTTTCTACTGCTTGAGCTCCTGTTCCTCTTATAGAGTATTGGCTCAAAAAGTACTCTGGAGCTCCTGCACCTAAATATAATATAGTCCTCCTGAGTGGCGCAGTGGTCTAAGGCACTGCATCACAGTGCTAACTGTGCCACTAGAGATCCTGGTTCGAATCTAGGCTCTGTCGCAGCCGGCCGCGACCGGGAGACTCATGGGTGGCGCACAATTGGCCCAGCGTCGTCCAGGGTAGGGGAGGGAATGGCCGGCAGGGATGTAGTTGATAGAGCATGGCGTTTGCAACGCCAGGGTTGTGGGTTCAATTCCCACGGGGGGCCAGTATAAAAAAATATGTATTCACTAACTGTAAGTCGCTCTGGATAAGAGCGTCTGCTAAATGACTAAAATGTAAATGTAAACAGTACCAGCACCCAAAATGAGTACCGGAACCTACTTCAGTCCAAGTCAAGCACTGATAAGAAGCCTATTTTATGACGTTTCCACTGGATCAAAGCATTATATTTTTCCCTTTCACGCTGAGTGGTTATCGAAAGGGAGAGAGCTGGAAAGATTTTTCAAATACGTCAAGGAACTTTTGTAATTCTCAATGGATGTAAAAACAGACTGTTTGCTTGCTGTTTGAGGTGAAGAAAACATTACTTTGAGAAGCTCCACAGGTCATTAGTGGTGGTGCGTTAAGCCAATCAGAAATACTATCAGATCCCCAAATAGGCACATTTACAGTGCATTCGGAAAGTATTCAGACCCCTTGACTCTTTCCATATTTTGTTACGTTACAGCATTATTCTAAAATTGATTAAATAGTTTATTCCCCCCTCATCAATCTACAAACAATACCCTATAATGAAGAAGCAAAAACTGGCTTTTAGAAATGTTTGCACATGTTGCTAATTTATAAAAAATAAACTGAAATATCATATTTACGTCAGACCCTTTACTCAGTACTTTGTTGAAGCACCTTTGGCAGCGATTATAGCCTTGAGTCTTCTTGGGTATGACGCTACAGGCTTGGCACACCTGTGCTTGGGTAGGTTCTCCCATTCTTCTCTGCAGATCCTCTCAGGCTCTGTCAGGTTGGATGGGGAGCGTCTCTGCACAGCTATTTTCAGGTCTCTCCAGAGATGTTCGATCGGGTTCAAGTCCGTGCTCTGGCTGGGCCACTCATGGACATTGAGACTTGTCCCGAAGCCAATCCTGCGTTGTCTTGGCTGTGTCCTTAGGGTTGTTGTCCTGTTGAACCTTCACCCCAGTCTGAGTGCTCTGGAGCAGGTTTTCATCAAGGATCTCTCTGTAATTTGCTCTGTTCATCTTTACCTCGACCCAGACTGGTCTCCCAGTCCTTGCCGCTGAAAAACATCCCAACAGAATGATGCTGCCACCACCATGCTTCATCGTAGGGATGGTGCCAGGTTTCCACCAGATGTGACACTTGGCATTCAGCCCAAAGAATTCAATCTTGGTTTCATCAGACCAGAGAATCTTGTTTCTCATGGTCTGAGTCCTTTAGGTGCCTTTTGGCAAACTCCAAGCGGGCTGTCATGTGCCTTTTACTGAGGAGTGGTTTTCGTCTGGTCACTCTACCATAAAGGCCTGATCTTGGCATTCTCTCAACCAGCTTCATGAGGAAGTCACCTAAAAATGCTTTTCCAACTGTCTTGAAGGAGTTCCCACATATATTGAGCACGGCTTGACTGACCTTCATGTCAAAGTAATGATGGACTGTCGTTTCTCTTTGTTTTTTTGAGCTGTTCTTGCCATAATATGGACTTGGTCTTTTACCAAATAGGGCTATCTTCTGTATACCACCCCTACCTTGTCACAACACAACTGATTGGCTCAAACGCATTAAGAAATTCCACAAATTAACAAGGCACACCTGTTAATTGAAATGCATTCCAGGTGACTACCTCATGAAGTTGGTTGAGAGAATGCAAAGAGTGTGCAAAGCTGTCATCAAGGCAAAGGGTGGCTACATTGAAGAATCTCAAATATATTTGGATTTAACACTTTTTTGGTTACTACATGATTCCATATGTGTTTTTCATTTCATAGTTTTGATGTCTTCACTATTATTCTACAATGTAGAAAATAGTAAAAATAAAGAAAAACCCTTGAATGAGTAGGTGTGTCCAAACTTTTGACTGGTACTGTATGCATGCATATATATATATATATATATATACAGTGGGGAAAAAAAGTATTTAGTCAGCCACCAATTGTGCAAGTTCTCCCACTTAAAAAGATGAGAGAGGCCTGTAATTTTCATCATAGGTACACGTCAACTATGACAGACAAATTGAGGAAAAAAAATCCAGAAAATCCCATTGTAGGATTTTTAATGAATTTATTTGCAAATTATGGTGGAAAATAAGTATTTGGTCACCTACAAACAAGCAAGATTTCTGGCTCTCACAGACCTGTAACTTCTTCTTTAAGAGGCTCCTCTGTCCTCCACTCGTTACCTGTATTAATGGCACCTGTTTGAACTTGTTATCAGTATAAAAGACACCTGTCCACAACCTCAAACAGTCACACTCCAAACTCCACAATGGCCAAGACCAAAGAGCTGTCAAAGGACACCAAAAACAAAATTGTAGACCTGCACCTGGCTGGGAAGACTGAATCTGCAATAGGTAAGCAGCTTGGTTTGAAGAAATCAACTGTGGGAGCAATTATTAGGAAATGGAAGACATACAAGACCACTGATAATCTCCCTCGATCTGGGGCTCCACGCAAGATCTCACCCCGTGGGGTCAAAATGATCACAAGAACGGTGAGCAAAAATCCCAGAACCACACGGGGGGACCTAGTGAATGACCTGTAGAGAGCTGGGACCAAAGTAACAAAGCCTACCATCAGTAACACACTACGCCGCCAGGGACTCAAATCCTGCAGTGCGAGACGTGTCCCCCTGCTTAAGCCAGTACATGTCCAGGCCCGTCTGAAGTGCATTTGGATGATCCAGAAGAGGATTGGGAGAATGTCATATGGTCAGATGAAACCAAAATATATCTTTTTGGTAAAAACTCAACTCGTCATGTTTGGAGGACAAAGAATGCTGAGTTGCATCCAAAGAACACCATACCTACTGTGAAGCATGGGGTTGGAAACATCATGCTTTGGGGCTGTTTTTCTGCAAAGGGACCAGGACGACTGATCCGTGTAAAGGAAAGAATGAATGGGGCCATGTATCGTGAGATTTTGAGTGAAACCCTCCTTCCATCAGCAAGGGCATTGAAGATGAAACGTGGCTGGGTCTTTCAGCATGACAATGATCCCAAACACACCGCCCGGGCAACGAAGGAGTGGCTTCGTAAGAAGCATTTCAAGGTCCTGGAGTGGCCTAGCCAGTCTCCAGATCTCAACCCCATAGAAAATCTTTGGAGGGAGTTGAAAGTCTGTGTTGCCCAGCGACAGCCCCAAAACATCACTGCTCTAGAGGAGATCTGCAAGGAGGAATGGGCCAAAATACCAGCAACAGTGTGTGAAAACCTTGTGAAGACTTACAGAAAACGTTTGACCTGTGTCATTGCCAACAAAGGGTATATAACAAAGTATTGAGAAACTTTTGTTATTGACCAAATACTTATTTTCCACCATCATATGCCAATAAATTCATTAAAAATCCTACAATGTGATTTTCTGGATTATTTTTTCTCATTTTGTCTGTCATAGTTGACGTGTACCTATGATGAAAATTACAGGCCTCTCTCATCTTTTTAAGTGGGAGAACTTGCACAATTGGTGGCTGACTAAATACTTTTTTTCCCCACTGTATGTATTTTTTATTGACTTGACCCGTTCTACTTGGGACTCGACTTGAGACTCGGACCTTGTGACTTGAATAATAGTGCCTTGGTCCCACCTCTGCTTAGTTATACTCCTCGAGAATACCAGTCCAACAACTTAAAATGTGCATCGAAACATAAATGTGTCTTTTGCTGTCTGTTCTTCCAAATCCCCAACCCCCCAGACATTAAATGCACACCTGAGAGGCTGGAAGTAGCACAGGGTCAGCTACAGAGCAGCTCCACTGGAGCAGGTTAAGGGCCTAACTCAAGGGCACAAAGGCACTAGATTGCATCAGAGATTATGATACCAGCAACCTTTCAGTTGTTGGCTCACTCCCATTTACAAAGTGAACTCCGGTAACTGAATCCTTCTCAGTACCAAGATGCTTCTATAAAACGATAATCAGTCATCAGTCACTATCATCAGTGAGCCATGCTCTTGTAGCCTGGGGTGCCAGACTAAAATACACTGCTCAAAAAAATAAAGGGAACACTTAAACAACACAATGTAACTCCAAGTCAATCACACTTCTGTGAAATCAAACTGTCCACTTAGGAAGCAACACTGATTGACAAATGGAATAGACAACAGGTGGAAATTATAGGCAATTAGCAAGACACCCCCAATAAAGGACTGGTTTTGCAGGTGGTGACCACAGACTACTTCTCAGTTCCTATGCTTCCTGGCTGATGTTTTGGTCACTTTTGAATGCTGGCGGTGCTTTCACTCTAGTGGTAGCATGAGACGGAGTCTACAACCCACACAAGTGGCTCAGGTAGTGCAGCTCATCCAGGATGGCACATCAATGTGAGCTGTGGCAAGAAGGTTTTCTGTGTCTGTCAGCGTAGTGTCCAGAGCATGGAGGCGCTACCAGGAGACAGGCCAGTACATCAGGAGATGTGGAGGAGGCCATAGGAGGGCAACAACCCAGCAGCAGGACTGCTACCGCCGCCTTTGTGCAAGGAGGAGCAGGAGGAGCACTGCCAGAGCCCTGCAAAATGACCTCCAGCAGGCCACAAATGTGCATGTGTCTGCTCAAACGGTCAGAAACAGACTCCATGAGGGTGGTATGAGGGCCCGACATCCACAGGTGGGGGTTGTGCTTACAGCCCAACACCGTGCAGGACGTTTGGCATTTGCCAGAGAACACCAAGATTGGCAAATTCGCCACTGGCGCCCTGTGCTCTTCACAGATGAAAGCAGGTTCACACTGAGCACATGTGACAGACGTGACAGAGATTGGAAACGCTGTGGAGAACGTTCTGCTGCCTGCAACATCCTCCAGCATGACCGGTTTGGCGGTGGGTCAGTCATGGTGTGGGGTGGTATTTCTTTGGGGGGCCGCACAGCCCTCCATGTGCTCGCCAGAGGTAGCCTGACTGCCATTAGGTACCGAGATGAGATCCTCAGACCCCTTGTGAGACCATATGCTGGTGCGGTTGGCCCTGGGTTCCTCCTAATGCAAGACAATGCTAGACCTCATGTGGCTGGAGTGTGTCAGCAGTTCCTGCAAGAGGAAGGCATTGATGCTATGGACTGGCCCGCCCGATCCCCAGACCTGAATCCAATTGAGCACATCTGGGACATCATGTCTCGCTCCATCCACCAACGCCACGTTGCACCACAGACTGTCCAGGAGTTGGCGGATGCTTTAGTCCAGGTCTGGGAGGAGATCCCTCAGGAGACCATCCGCCACCTCATCAGGAGCATGCCCAGGCGTTGTAGGGAGGTCATACAGGCACGTGGAGGCCACACACACTACTGAGCCTCATTTTGACTTGTTTTAAGGACATTACATCAAAGTTGGATCAGCCTGTAGTGTGTTTTTCCACTTTAATTTTGAGGGTGACTCCAAATCCAGACCTCCATGGGTTGATATATTTGATTTCCATTGATAATTTTTGTGTGATTTTGTTGTCAGCACATTCAACTATGTAAAGAAAAAAGTATTTAATAAGATTATTTCATTCATTCAGATCTAGGATGTGTTATTTTAGTGTTCCCTTTATTTTTTTGAGCAGTGTACATTAGTGAGCCTTAGTAGACTACATCTATACCAAATAGCTACAATACTGTATGGTCTCCCGCTCTCGTTCTCTCACACACACACGGTACGATCAGTCTCCTTAAATTCTCACACATTATTTTTTTTTTACATATATTATACTAAATACGCATGAGCATCTCAGAAAACAGTTTGTGTATTTGATAGTTTAATCCAGCACTAGAACGTATACTGATACTATTTAGTAATAACTAAATGAAAAAGTAACCAGCTATGGCATATGCAAGAGGTGTCTCTTATGTTCTAGATCTATAGTCAGGAATTAGTTCAGCAGACACGAAAATAACATTCAATTCCAAATATGAAACATTAAAAAATATGACTTGTATTACCTGGAGCAGCCTGGGTTTCACTCAATTCACTGTTGACCAAGATCTCTAGAATCTTGATAAGGGAATCCAGGCTGGCCTCACAGCTGAGAGACAGGAAATGGTTACATTTATTATCTGCTGCATCCCTAGTTCATTTACCTGTCAAAGGATTTCGATACTGTTGATCACTCACTGCTAATTCAGAGGCTTTCCTCATTCGTCTAGACCAGGCTGCATGTAACTGGTTTAAAAATTACTTGACAGATAGAATCTACTGATTGTGTTAAATCCGGTTTCCTGGATATTACCAAAGATGTCCCGCAGATTCTGGATCCTGTAGTTTTTACTGTTTACATTAACAATATCGACTTGTCTGTAAGAAATTGTAACCTGCACTTGTATGCCGATGATACTAATGTGTATGCCATTGCCCCCACGGTTGACCAGGCGCTATCTGAACTACAGTCTTCCTTCTTTGTATTACAGAAAAAACTTTGACCTGAAATTAGAACTGAAAGCAGGTAAAACTAAGTGTATGTTGTTTTCTAGAGCACATAAAAATAAGTCTGATGATTTAAGCATATGTACTTTAGATGGTGTCCATAATGATTGTGTCCCTGTTTACAAATATCTGGGCATCTGGATAGATGAAAATCTGTCTTAAAAAGTATATTGATGAGTTAGTTGAGAAGCTGAGAATAAAAATGGGCTTCTTCTATAGAAATAGGTCCTGCCTCTCGCTAAATTGTAGAACGCAGATTATTAAATCGACGTTCCTTTCGGTCCTAGACTATGGCGACATCATCTATATGAGCGCAGCTGCCACTTCATTAAAGCCGTTAGATGCAGTTTATCATAGCACACTGCACTTTATTACGGGCGACAATTTTAGTACTCATCACTGCATTCTCTACCAGAAAGTTGATTGGCCCTCTGATGTCACATAGGTTGATACATTGCTTTGTTTTCATTTATAAAGCCCTTTTACAAAAAGTCCCACTGTACCTAACATCATTACTAAACTTCAGACATACAAGTTACCACACACGGTCTCAGTTAACTCTGGAAATTGCTTTTGTCTCTACAGAGTTAGGTAAATCAGATTTTAGTTTTATTGCACCTTATTTGTGGAACAATCTTCAAAATTTTCTTAAAATGTGATGTTCTCGTGCCTCTAGGGCAATTCAGAAAGATGATTGAGGACCTTATTACTGATGAATGAGTTTGTGGTTTATGACCGTGGTTTTCATTTTTTCTGCTTGCATTTTGTATTTATATTTTGATGTGTTATTTTCTGTAATTTATGTAATTCAAGGCTCATCTGTAAAAAAGAGACCTTGGTCTCAGTATGACTCCCTGATAAAATAATGGTTAAATAAAATAAAATTAGTATGTGTATTTAAACAAACACAAAAAATAATCTGTTCACATTCTACAGTTACTGTGAGTGTTACTGTGTCTATGACATGTTGTCCTCATACATAAAAGCACTCCTGTCAGCATAATTGCCCCTTGTGGGATAAATAAAGTATTTCAATTGTAATTGTATACTGACCTTGCTGGTTGAAGCCTGAAAAGCACAGGGCTGAAGATTTCAGCCAAGTCTCTGACACAGAGTTGGTTTTTGCTGGTGTTCTGCGAAATCCGGCAGAAGTGTTTGATGAGGCAGTAGAGCGTGAGGCAGTATTGGGGTGGATGGGTAGGTGAGCTGGCTATCCTGCGCAACAACTGGGCACAGTCCTCTGGATCCTTTACCTCTGTGAGCATGAAAAGAGGAAACAGTCACACAAGGTAAAGATTAAATCAATATGACAACCACTATTAAAATGTACTGCACAACATTGCCCTGGAAAACATACCACAACATATTTTCACTTTATTTGGATGGTGGGCCACATCAAATCGGCATGCGGGCCGGATTTGGTCCGTGGGCCACTACTTGAGGATAAGTTTGGTTTGAGGCATTCATCTATTAGTTTCATAGCTATTAGGTCTTACCTTGTGCTGCATGAATCATCTCACTTTGGAGAGAGGTGGGAACAACTGGATTAGGCAAATCCTGCAGGTATCTCCAAAGGCCATCACATAGCAACTGTAGGTCCAAAGGCTCCAAATCTGTAAATGCATCAATAAACATAGTAGATGGTAGAGATGAATGCAACAAAAATGACAGTGACAACAATCACTTGGTTAAGAAAAAATCCTATTCCTCAAAAGCTATTAAAAATGGGAGAAGTAGGCACAATCTGCCACTCACCACTGTCAGTGAACTGTCTCATATCCAGCACACAAGCTGCTGTGAAAGTTCTATAAAGGGTTGGACATTCCAAACCTGCAGGACAGAAAATAGGATCAGAGGGCGGATTTGATTAACCAGTTCAATGTAATAGTAACACATTCATCATCGTTAACTACTCCCATGCACCAGGCCACGGTCTCTTCTTACCTTTGCGTTCTATTGCCTCCAGAAGCTTGACCAGGATGGGTGATGCAGCCTCTGGAGGAGCAAACTGTTCTGGCAGATCTGGCAACATGAAGCCTGCACAACAGAAAGATGACGTAACTGAAACATTCTAAACTGCTAGCGGACAGTTGATTGTTACCTGCTAACAAACACCCACCTTGCTCACCTTATAGGCATTCAATGAAAATGAACAGTATTTACCTCAATATCACACACTGCAATGGTTGCATCGCACTACTAACAAGCATGCACAGATATTCATTTGTCCTTGCGGAGTCACGGCACTGTTGTAGGTATAGGCCTGCCGTACAGTAAATGATTAGTATCAGATCACAGTTACACACAAGCATTTCCTGTTTTGCCTCTTAAGCTTCCTTTGTAAAAGCTTATGATGCACTCTAACCACCACATCAGCGTTTTCACAGATCCGTATTCAGCACAGCTGCTCTTCCTTCCTTGGCTTGCGTGATCTGCAGCTCAGTGCTTAATGCTGGTTGTAACCAACTCTTACTGATGAAACAGCGTGCCAAGGAAGAGCTGAAACACTAAAACTACAGCCTGAAATGTCTATGCACAATAACATTTATAATCAACAGTGCCATAAACATTGGTGACAGTCCTTAAAAATCAATTGGTAGGCATTACAAGATACAAAATATCATCAGCAATGTAACCTGATGTCCATCTCAAGCTACTCACCGTCTGATTCCAAATCTGTCCTGGTTAGATCTGATGTGGAAGGAAGAGGTCTAGGTGGCCTTGGTTTTGGTGTTGGTGGTGAAATTCTTTTTCTTCCAACAAATTCAACGTAAGTCCCAGGGAAGTCACCTTTTTCATGAGTTGTCTCATTGAATCCTGGCAGCCACCCAATCTCATCTGGTTTTTCTTCAGCCCCATTAGGGCAGCCTAGGGCCAGCAGAGCACCTTTGCTCACCACCAATATATCGTCTACATGCAAATCAATGTCCTCCTCCCTCTCCTTTTTATAGTCATACAGTGCTCTGTACTGGTATCCTTCTGAACTCATATTGATATATGATATCTGTATCCCCAATACACAATTCCAGAAAAATAAGATTTGGCCTGAGGTTAAAAAACATAATCTACTATATTCTTTCTAAAAATGCATGTTTCCCCCATCTCCATCTTATGCAGATCTTCTTCCCCCAAAAAGTATGCAGATTCAGCACCTCCAATTGTTAAGGTTCTGTCCTGTTTTTCAATACACCCTCATTATGCTTCATGCAATACAATCCCATCAAAGGCATCGGCATCTGTAGTCCCATGAAAGCATCTGTCCTGGATGGAGACAAAATGAATATTCAGAAATCAAAATTAAAATACTGTGGCAGCTAACGTTAGATAGCTAGTAAACCAACAAATTATTTAAACAAACGTTTTCAATTACTTCAATCTCCAACAAAACGGTGACTGTCTTTCAATAAGAAACGTTAATAACTAGCTAAAGTTACTGTATACTTGAAGCTATAGAAATTCCACATTGGATAAAGCAAGTTGTCTTTGTTCGTGACATAGCTAGCTAGCTAGCTAGCTTGGACATACTATACTAGCTATACACCAACTGATATATTCTAGCTAGCTGGGGATGGGGGAGAAGGAAAGTAGCTAGCTAGCCGTGTAGCTACGTCTAGACTATTAAAACACATCCACAAATCCGGGTGCACACACCATCCAAATGACAAACGTAAAAGTAGTTTAAAAATACAAACCATAAAAACATTTAGATTAAAGAAGCCATGCCATTCGTTATGTAGCTAGCTAGTATATAACATTATTAGCTAGCAGGCTAGATAGCATGAACACAGGCCCGTGAAAATGTGGAACGTCCACTGCCTCAGATCAGATTTGGCAGATGGCTACTGTAGCTAGTTTACGTTAGTTGAATACCTACCTTAATGTTATTTTCCTCTGAGAAAATCTTCAGAAAAACCAAAGAGATCAGATTTCATTGGGAAGTGAAGGATAGACGCGGTCTCCAAACGATATCTCGAAAATACATCCGGGTGCAGTAACCGCTTGTAGCAAACAGCAGTGCAGCTAGTTAGCCGGTCGTCACTAGTTAACGCAGCCACAAAGTCAGGGTTTATGACCGAGGTAAAATTGGTTTTATTTTGGATATTTGGTTCTCTAATCAATAGCTATTAAACCAAACGTGCCATGACTATGAAGATATTCTGAATCAGGGGAGGATGGACAAAAATCCACAACCTGTTTTTAAAAAATAGACATTTAATTGTATATTGTATTTTTGTTTGCTTTCAATCTTCCATAGCTCTTACACAAAGCCTGCATGACTATGAAAATGATATATTCTGAATCGGGGGAAGATCGACAAAAATCCACAGCTTTTTTTTTTTTTTTTTTTTTTTACAAATTCTAATGTCAATAAAAAATAAGTAATTGCAGACAGGTATATTTTTTATAACATGTTTGAGATAGTAAATTGATAATGCAAATTACATTTATGAAAAGACAGTAAAAATAATTGTCACTATTAACCTCTATTGAATTACTAATGACCTACCACTTAAAGGCACAATCTGCTATTCGTTTGCAGTCAAATAGGTGCCCACTATTTTTTTCTGGTGTGATGTTGTGTGAGGGGTTTAGTGGTCAAACAACAAAGAGAAGAGGTGCTGCTGAGGTGCGTAACTTGTGACAGTATACAAAAGTTTCGGTCTCACAACCTTCATGAGACAAATGTCTAATGGTGAATGATGGGGATGGGGAAATGTAACCAAACTCTTAAACATAGCTCTAGATGAAAGGACTGACAGTCCCTGATAATGAATTAAACTATGAAACATAAATCAAATTAAGATAAAGGGGGGCTATTAAGGAAACATTCAGCAATCTCGTTCTGCTCCCACTGTGGGATGGAGAACCTGGAGGAGGGCAAAAATATGTTTGATTGGGTAAGTGGCTACACAAGTGTTTATATTATGTTGATGTCATGACATACAGTTAGGAAAGCAACAAATATAATTAATGACTCTTATAGAGAGATACCGTACTTAAGGATAGTGAAATGCATGTGTTGGTGTGCTTGATGAGATATCCAAGAAGTGTGCTCCAAACACAAAAGAGGAGCAGTGGAGTACTGCTGTGTGTAGTTCTAAAGCATTTCTTTACTGGAGAACGGTGATGCAAAGAAATTGAAATTTGAAACACAGTTCAATTGTTTAGAATGTTTGTGTAAATAAGTGTGTTTCACTAGTGTGAAGTGTGTAGCTTACGTGTTACTGTATAAGTGGTCCTCTGTAGCTCAATTGGTAGAGCATGGCGCTTCTAACGCCAGAGTAGTGGGTTCGATCCCCGGGACCACCCATACGTAAAAATGTATGCACACATGACTGTAAGTCGCTTTGGATAAAAGCGTCTGCTAAATGGCATATTATATTATTATTATTATTTATAAGTGTCACTGATCATAATATGATTAAAAATATTATCCCATATATTCTTTCAAAAACCGATACAGCGTGACAAGTCCACCAGGTGGTACCACCAAAGGTGCGTGAAGATGACTGACGAAGAGTACTCCAGAAACAAGAAATGACCATTTTGTTAAAGGCCCAATGCAGTTTCTCTATCAATATCAATTCATTTCTCAGTTACAATTAAGTACCTTATTGTAACAGTCAACAAAAAAAATTGGGATGCTTTTTAGGCCCCCCCCCCATAATTTTTTTCACAAAGGAATTTTGCTAGGACTGTCTGGGAGTGGTTTGAGTGGGGATGGGAAATATGAAAATTAGCTGTTATTAGCAGAGAGATTTGGAACTGTCTCTGATTAACCCAGGAAGCACACTAGCTGACCCATACCACAATTTCTCCAGGCTCACCAACGTAGCCCATTGTCATGGCATTCTATCACTCTGGCGAGCATGGCAACAGGGTTATCTCATCCAGCAATAAAGCCAGTTACGGAAGTCTATAAATGCATTAGTTTGATTATCTTGTCTCTATGGTAAAACAAACAGGTCTATAGGCTACTGGTGGAACTAAGCCCATGGTGTCCTGCATTGAGTTTGTATTCAATAAAGAATTTGTATTCTATGCTGTCAGGGTGGAGAACTCACTCTATGAATATATCATGCTGTACTTAATGGCTGTGCTCTATTGTCCTTGTTGAGCTGCTGGGATTCTGCTTATTGGACAATCCATCACTTCAGCTTGATAAATGTCTAGCGCGCTTCTCTGTATCTCTCCCCCCCCACACACACACACACACGACACGCAGATGCACGTACATGCACACACACATCATATAATGAATGGTTAGCTTGGGTTAATCCACTGCGTTTTTATGGAGATATACTGTATGGCCACTGCTCACATTTACATTTGTCATTTAGCAGACGCTCTTATCCAGAGCGACTTACAGTTAGTGAATACATATTTTTTTATACTGGCCCCCCGTGGGAATCGACATCAACATGGTCATTATGCTTATTGCCTTATGCGACAATCGCACTCAAGTCAGAGGCCATATTCTGTAAATTAAGAGTTCTAACTTAAATCAATGGTAATGAATTAGTTAAAAGTGATATCCCTTGTGAAGATCATAAGCATCGCCAGGTTATGACCCTATTAAGAAGATCCAGAGCCTTCTGTTCTAAAGCAGAACCTACACCATCGTTTTTCCTTCAAAGTTTATAAGTATTTTAACCAGGGACATTTGTTGGGATATTTGTTGTTTGTGGGGATAGTTGATGAAGGCTCATCTCTCAGCAGAGCACCACAGGCCCAGCACTAATGACAGGACAGGGCCAGTACTGTCCCATACCAAGAACAAAGAAGCTACAACCAGAACTATGGTCTATGATCTTTCTCTCCCCGCCCCCCCCACACACACAAACACAAATGCACACCATGCTGTTTTTTGGTTGATATTTTATTGCTATTTTGTTAGCTTTCAAATCTGTTTTTCAAATAATATTCATTAGCAATTACAACAATGCCCAGACAGACATCAACCTGGACTCAGAGCATTTCGTATTACTCTGTACGTAAATCCGAAACACTCCATTTAGTATGATATGTTATGTTTCTTATGTTATGTATTAATTTGTGGATATCCATCACCCATTTCGTAACATATGTTACAAATTACAATTCTTATTACATGTTACGAATTTGAAAAACTTACAATATGTTACAAAGTTGCGAACGGACAACATGTTACAAATTTGCAATGTAAAATAGGTTACGAATTTGTTAAACGTAAGATATGTTATGAATTCTAGCAAGGTGGCTAATGTTAGCTAGCTGGCTAACGTTAGCTAGGCTAGGGGTTTGGGGTTAAGGTTAACTGCCCTTGGTAGGGCTTGGGTATCACTAAATTGATCACTAACATTTTGAAGCTTAGCCATTTGCTTGTGCTCTGCTGCGCAGCGCAGTCATATCTGACTATGATCATAAGATGGTGTCAGAAGTGCTTCAACCTCATCAAATATAAGATAGGAGAGATTATTTCACAGAAAATACTAATGTTCCTTGAGGTTTGTCGGAGTTTAGAGTGACGAAAAAAAGCTAACAGCTCACTGCTCTCTCATGAGGTCTTGTCATGGACCAACAACACCACCACTCTTGTCAAGAGGGCGCAACAGCATCTCTACTTCCTATGGCGGGTGAAGAAATTCAGCATGCCACCCAGAGTCCTCTCCAAATACTACCGCTGCCCATCAAAGGCGTCCTGACCGCCCTCCAGCAGGTGGTGAAGACGGCCCAGTACATCACTGGAAACGCGCTTCCACCCATCCAGGACATCTACTCAAAACCGTTCCTGAGGATGGCACGCAGCATCATCAAGGACCCCACACACCCCAGCCACGAGCTCTTCTCTCCCATACCGTCGGGGTAGACAGTATCAGAGCATGAGGTCTGATACCAACAGGGTCAGAGACAGTTTCTATCTTCAAGACATTAGACATTAAGGAATACCTGGAATAGTATAAAGTAATACTTCTTCCCCCACCCCCCATAAAAAAAAAAGGTGGTTGTCCCACTGGCTATCATAAGTTGAATGCACCAATTTGTAAGTCGCTCTGGATAAGAGCGTCTGCTAAATGATGTAAATGTAAATTAGACTGCTGAACACTTGAACTGGACTGATCACCTGCTCTGATTCTCCAAACGTTAGTACACATCACAACTGTTGCACTACCCTCCATCGCCCCCTTCCCCAATACACGTGTAAATATTGTACTATAAATAGTGCCTTCCTGTATTATACTTCTGCTAAAATGTTTATTCTATTCTACTGCCATTTTCTATATGTTCGCATTCTTAATTTGACTATTTCTTATTGTTGTTGCATTGTCGAGAAGGAACCTGCAAGTAAGCATTTAGTTAGACAATGTATACCATGCGTATCCCGTACATACGACTTATACAACTTGAAACTTGTCTCCTCATTGAGCAGAGCAGCCCAAGCGGAGCCATTGCTATGGATACTCACTGACTCAGAGCTGCCATGAGCAGAGTGCCTGCAAAGCGATCTGCCTGCACCAGGGAGCGAGTGACAGACAAACAGGAGCAGCTAATGGATTTACTAAGGGAGGAAGTCATTTTTGATTTCGGGTTTCGAGCATTACATTTGGCAGAAGCAATAGAACCTGGGTAGGTTAGGGCCTGAATCTCACGGGCATGGATATGACCTTAAAATTCATGCCCGTGCAGGGCTCTAAACCACACCAATGGTGCATTTACACTAAGGATTTACCCATTGGATTTACTCCAGTGTTTTAACCAAAAGTAGAAGGGTGTAATTGCAGCCTGCAATTTGGGACGTTCCTGCATGTGGGCATTCGTGCATCTGCAGGAACCCCTTGTCATACTTCTAGTATTGGTCAATTTTTAAGCTAGCCTGTCGGGCACTGCTTTCTCGCAGTTCTGTTAACCATGGCGAGGGCAGGCGTTCGGCAGGTGGGAGCGAAGGACACTATGTGCTAGCTAGGAGTCCGGTACAGAGCAGGCGGGAGGCAGGGACGACACCGGTAGCTAGCTAGGATCCCGGTAGACAGTGTCCTTCGCCCC